AGAAGATCATTACTTAGAGTTGTAAAAAGAAGATCATTACTTAGAGTTATAAAAAGAAGATCATTACTTAGAGTTGTAAAAAGAAGATCATTACTTAGAGTTGTAAAAAGAAGATCATTACTTAGAGTTGTAAAAAGAAGATCATTACTTAGAGTTGTAAAAAGAAGATCATTACTTAGAGTTGTAAAAAGAAGATCATTACTTAGAGTTGTAAAAAGAAGATCATTACTTAGAGTTGTAAAAAGAAGATCATTACTTAGAGTTATAAAAAGAAGATCATTACTTAGAGTTGTAAAAAGAAGATCATTACTTAGAGTTATAAAAAGAAGATCATTACTTAGAGTTGTAAAAAGAAGATCATTACTTAGAGTTATAAAAAGAAGATCATTACTTAGAGTTGTAAAAAGAAGATCATTACTTAGAGTTATAAAAAGAAGATCATTACTTAGAGTTGTAAAAAGAAGATCATTACTTAGAGTTATAAAAAGAAGATCATTACTTAGAGTTGTAAAAAGAAGATCATTACTTAGAGTTATAAAAAGAAGATCATTACTTAGAGTTGTAAAAAGAAGATCATTACTTAGAGTTATAAAAAGAAGATCATTACTTAGAGTTGTAAAAAGAAGATCATTACTTAGAGTTGTAAAAAGAAGATCATTACTTAGAGTTATAAAAAGAAGATCATTACTTAGAGTTGTAAAAAGAAGATCATTACTTAGAGTTGTAAAAAGAAGATCATTACTTAGAGTTGTAAAAAGAAGATCATTACTTAGAGTTATAAAAAGAAGATCATTACTTAGAGTTGTAAAAAGAAGATCATTACTTAGAGTTGTAAAAAGAAGATCATTACTTAGAGTTATAAAAAGAAGATCATTACTTAGAGTTGTAAAAAGAAGATCATTACTTAGAAAGACTATGTAGCCGTTTTCAAAACAAATAAAAACATGATATAATTAAAATTCACTGATCTAGTTTTGCCAATACTTTTGCTGATAAAACATCTTATTTTACCTTTAATCTTTTTATCAGCAAAAGAAGTACTGTCAAATCTGCATAGCAACACCTAACCCACCATCAGTATAGCAACACCTCAGCCACCATTACAATAGCAACATTTCTGTCATAGATAAAGAGGATATACTGTTGATTATTCATGTTAAAAAGTTTTTTAAAATAAAACCAGTCTTGAATTAAAAAAAATTTATCTAATGCCCTTACACAATTATCAGGTTCAATCACCTGAAAGTCAAGAAATAACTTCTTGTATCATTAACAACGATTCCAGGTCAAGCCTCACTCTTCTCCTTGGTTTTCCTCACATTGCGCTGCAGCAATTTCTAATCGAAACCGTTACTTTCATATCTATCAGCAAAACAATTCTCCAGAAAACAGACATCTGTTCACTATCGCCAGAAACCATTGTAAAAAGGTTTTGTCTGACGCCAAAGCTCGCTATTCCCAGGTCATTAAATCTCGTATTGAGATACACAAAAATTAGGCTCTCGAGACTTCTGGAGAATCTTTAACAGTATCAATAATAAGGGCAAATCTGTTATTCCTTCTCTCTTGTATGGTTCAGACTTTGTCACCTCACCTAAAGACAAAGCTGAATTGTTTGCTAAGAACTTTTCATCAATATCATCTCTTGATTCCACTAGTTGCGTTTTACCTGACATAGCCGTCAAACAGGTTGATCCCTTGCTTGACATTCACATCACTTCAGCTTCTGTATCTAAAGTAATTTCCTGCTTAGACTCTTCAACAGCTTGTGGTCCTGACAACATTCCTGTTGTAGTTTTGCAGAGGTGTTCTCCGGAGCTTTCATCCATACTTTCTAAACTATTTAACAAGTGCTTATCAGAGTCTTGTTTTCCATCATGCTGGAAAGCAGCATCTGTTATCCCTATTTTCAAAAATTCCGGAGAGCGATCTGATTCATCTAACTACCGTCCCATTAGTCTTCTTCCTGTCATAAGCAAGGTTTTTGAATCTTTAATCAACAAACACTTAATCTCTCATCTTGAATTAAATAACTTACTTTCTGATCATCAATATAGATTTCGGTCTTCTCGTTCTACAGCTGATGTGCTAACAGTAATAACCGATAGGTTTTACCGTGCATTAGATAGAGGTGGAGAGGTTAAGGCTATCGCACTTGACATTTCTAAAGCTTTTGATAAAGTTTGGCATGCTGGTCTTCTCCATAAGCTTTCTTCTTATGGTGTAGCTGGTAACATCTTTAAGATTATTGAGTCCTTTCTTTCCAATCGTAGTATAAAAGTTGTCCTCGATGGACAACACTCTTCTTCACATCCTGTAACTTCAGGGGTTCCTCAAGGTTCAATCCTTGGCCCTATACTCTTTTTAATTTACATTAACGATCTTCCAGATATTCTCACATCTAAGGTGGCATTATTCGCTGACGACACTACCATTTACTCTTGTCATGATAAGAAGCCTACACTCTCTGATTGCTTGGAGGGGGTATCTGAGCTTGAAAAGGATCTCACTTCTGCTACAACATGGGGCTCACAGTGGCTGGTGAACTTTAATTCAGATAAAACTCAATTTTATTCGGCCAATCGTTATCGTAATAATTTAGATCTTCCTATATTTATGAATGGTAATGTACTAGATGAGTCATCTACCATTCATCTTCTAGGATTAACTCTTACTTCTGATCTTTCTTTTAAACCGTATATCAAATCCATTGCAAAATTAGCATCTGCTAAGGTTGCATCTCTTTATCGAGCTCGACACTTTCTTACTCCAGATTCTATTCTCTATCTCTATAAATCTCAAATCCGTCCCTGTATGGAATACTGTTGCCACATCTGGGGCGGATCTTCTAATGATGCTCTTTCTCTTTTAGACAAGGTGCAAAAACGAATTGTAAACATAGTTGGACCTGCTCTGGCAGCCAATCTCCAACCTTTGTCACATCGTCGTAATGTTGCTTCTCTTTCTCTTTTCTACAAATACTATAATGGGCACTGCTCTAAAGAGCTAGCGTCCCTTGTGCCATCTACTAAAATTCATTCTCGTGTTACTCGCCATTCAATTAAGTCTCATCCTTTTTCTGTGACTGTTCCTAAGTGCTTCAAAAACTCTTATTCTTCTAGTTTTTTTCCTCGAACATCAGTTCTTTGGAATTCGCTTCCTTCATCTTGCTTTCCTGATTCATATAATTTGCAATCTTTTAAGTCGTCAGTCAATCGTTATCTTGCTCTACAGATTTAGTCTTTTCTCTTCCAGTAACTTCCAACTCTTATAGTGGTTGCTTGCAGCCTTGTTGGAAGTGAAGATGTTAAAAAAAAAAAAAAAAAAAAAAAAAACTTGATCCAGCAACTTGTTCGAGTAATTTGTTCTTGATTGTATAGTCAGATCAGAAGTAGGAACCATCACATTCACCCTACTACTTTGAACATAAAATCCAGAACAACTTTATTTTCACTACCATGTCAGATTTTTCTGTGATCTCTGACTTTAAATAGTTTAAAATGTCTAGAAGGATGAATGTTGAAACTTAGTCAGTCAAATGGTCTTCTTTATATGCTTGCTTCACATGAAGCATCTAGGAAACTTTTTAAAGTTATAATTCTCTTTTAACCACAGGATTTAAGTTGTATAAGGTTGCAGACTATTTTTATTTTAGGTAACTACTAGACTACCAAAGGTTTCATTTTTGGTTCTGTTATGTTTCTCATCTATATTATTATTCTTCCAATAATCTTGCATCTAAATTGTCTCTATTTGCTGATGAACTTTCAGTCTTATCAGATAAAAAATGATGACTTTTGACTGCTTGAACAAGCAGCCAATCTGAAATCTTTTCTGAACTAGTTAATCTTAGTCAAAGGTTTGTGTCACTACAGAAGAGAAACTTTTGACATTAAAACTAATATTTAAATGTGCACTTCACGACCTGAAAAACTAATACTTTCAAATAATTTTGTTAATGAAACTAGGCAATCAAAAATAGATTTCAATGAAGTTCATGTTTCATTTGATATAATTAACTTATACCCATACCCATTGACAAAGCTATTCCTGTTATTATTAATATATTGAATAATTACATCAACAACTTAAAGAAACTAACTAAACTTTCTCTTGTGGATATACACCAAATAATAGAACTTTCATTGAGTATTTGCTATTTTTTATATGAAAACAAAATCTGAATAATACCTAATTCAGATCCTATAGGTTTGTTTCTAATGATTGTTATGGTGGAAGCGTTACTATAGAATATAGAAAGAAAAATTCTTAAAATAGCTACTATTCATACATGTGAACCAAAAACTTTCATGATATCTATAGACAATTGTCATGCTCACTTTGACTCTAAATGAACAAAATCCTGCCAAAAAATACACTGTTGAACTCAAAAACTACCAAAAACAACTCATTTTTCTAGATATTAATCATGTAAACACATTACATGCTTATGAATTTCAAATACATCAAAATAAGGCAATAACTAATATTCAACTTGAACCTAACTCAAACATATTATCACTGAATCTATTTTGTCATCAATAAATGTAAATTTCCCCACTCCTTTTTAACTCATACTACCCCAAACCCCATGCATTACACTATCTTGCAAACAACTAAATTTATAAGCTTCTCCTTTTTTTGGACTAGCTTTACTTTACAATCGTTACTTTGACTAGCATGATCACTTGTCTTGAAGTTAATCAATTTTATTCATCTGATATTATGTTGATATATTTTGCATTTATTTAAAACTGTCAAAATTTTTCTTTTAAATTTTATTTTGTTTTATGATTAACTCCAAAAAAATGTTACAGAGAGCTTATAAAAGGTTCTTTGAATGTAAAAACCAGTAATGCTTTAATATGCAAATATTAAAGCATTACTGGTTTTTACATTCAAAGAACCTTTTATAGACAATATAAAACTTATATCATAAATAATATGATATAATATTAGTATTGTAATGAAAATGTGGCAAAACCCAAATTATGTCATACCAAATATGCATCATAAAAGGGCTGTAGCAAATATATTAAAAATTCAATTTCAGCCATTTTGATTTTTATTGGGATAATTTCATCATTTGCAAATGTAACCAACTTTGATGTTTGGAGCAAAGTGATAGCTGTAACAAAAGCCTAAAAAAAAAAAGAAAACAAAGAATTTAAAATATAACTGGGTATAACATTAGTAAAAACCATAAGTTTAATATACTAGACAATAAATTACACTTCAATAAAACATTGCGCTCCTCCATAAATGAAATTATTGTTTTAAAAATGTCTGGATTTTACTCTTAAGCTTAATAATATGAATAAAAATATAAACCAACCAAATATAAATATAAACCAACCAGCTATTATAACTGTTATTCAGTTTGTTCAGAACATAGAAAAGAAACTTTGTAATGACATTGCAAATGGAGAAAGCATATTTTTAACGGTGAAAAGGTGAAAAATAGATAAGAGAGAAAAAAGAAAAACAAATAATTTTTTAGAATAGAAGATTTGAAAAATAAAAATAATTAAGTGAAAACAATGAAAATATTAAAGAATAAAAATTTAAGAAAAACATCAAATAAACTGAAGATCTAAACGCAAAGTAAAGATAATTAAAATGTTCGTGAAAAACTCGCAAATAAAAAACTTTTACAAATTATTAAAAGAAAACAAAAATACCATTTTTTAATTTATATTAGTTTGGATTGTTTATACTGTTTTTTTTTTGCGCATTGTTTATAATGTCGTATGCTTTTATGTATTTTTTATATTGTTGTTCTATGTTTTTTTTATACTGTTGTGTAATTTTGTGTATTGTTTATATTGACGACTACATTTGTTTATTGTTTATGTTGACGTGTATTTTTTTTGTGATCTTGTTGCTAACTATGTTTATTACTGCTACTTTTTGTTTGTTGCATTCAGGTTATTTTTTGTCTCATTATAATATTTAAAAATACCTTTTTGTTTTATTTTTTATTTTCTATCAAACATTTGAGCGTCAAATGTTGCATCATTTCATTCATTCGTTATGTCTCATGTCATTCTATACACTTTTTACCTTTTGATGGCTGTACTAATGAATGATGGTTGTACTAATGAATGATGGTTGTACTAATGAATGATGGTTGTACTAATGAATGATGGTTGTACTAATGAATGATGGTTGTACTAATGAATGATGGTTGTACTAATAAATGATGGTTGTACTAATGAATGATGGTTGTACTAATGAATGATGGTTGTACTAATGAATGATGGTTGTACTAATTAATGATGGTTGTACTAATGAATGATAGTTGTACTAATGAATGATGGTTGTACTAATGAACGATGGTTGTACTAATGAATGATGGTTGTACTAATGAATGATGGTTGTACTAATGAATGATGAATTTTATCAAATGTGGAGCAAGTAAACCAAAATTTTATATTCATAAAAGTGACATCAAGAGAATCATGGGGACCTCTAGTTGCAAAGTGACATCAAGAGGATCATGGGGACCTCTAGTAGCAAAGTGACATCAAGAGGCTCATGGGGACCTCTAGTTGCAAAGTGATATCAAGAAGATCATGGGGACCTCTAGTTGCAAAGGTATTTTATATATTCAATGTTTAAGTTTATACTATTTCAATTTTATATAAAATATTATAAATTCTAATATATCTCAAAACTGATAAAGATACTTAGCCTTAAAAACTTTGGACTAAAATCTTTCTGATTAATCCCTAAGCTAATTCCAAAGCTTAAGTACTTTTGAAGAAGGTTTTGGAAAAGAACTTGATTCTGATTCAGAAAAAAAAAATCATTAATGTTTGTAAAATCCATTTCTAAATATAGACATTTAAAATCCTGGAGTAAACATCTATTTTCATGTTTTTTTTTTTTATAAAGCATGCAGGATACATATAATACATGCAGATTATAAATCACAAACACACGCACAGTATAAATCACAAAGACACACACAGCATAGATCACAAATTATAAGGATAGATTGAAAATTGATGTAGTTGATTTTGGAAATAAAAATTGAAATACCTAATGTTAGATAAAAATTATAAAAATTTTACAAAATAACAAATTTGAAAAAAAATAATTCAATCATTATTATAATCAATTCATTCATTAATTAATTCATTATATTGTAAAACGTGTTGGAATTTATTAGAGCATGAAAGCAAATGAAATTCAAAAATTTAAACCAGCCCCACTTGATTTAATTTTTAAAAACTTGTCTTAAACAAATCAAAATTCATCAACAGATGTCAAATTTCATCAAAAAAGAATTTTTGTTTTAGAAGTTGTAGTTATATATAATTAAAAAGTATTTTTAGATTTTAAATATAATTAAAAAGTGTTTTTAGATATTAGAGGATTGTTTTTTTACTCATAGCAAATGAAACTATAAATAAATTTTGCTACTAAACCTGAGGAAAGCAAAGGAGCTTACATTTTTTATGATAAAACCCCTGTTTTTTGTACAAAAACCTATTTAAATTTAGAAAATAGGACAAAAAAACAGATTTTTACTAATTTCTTTTGAAATCTTTGGTTATATTTTTGTAGATTTTGTGGGTTTATCTATAAAAATCTTAAAATAAACCTATGAGAAGTAAAGAAACCTAAGTTTTTTACAACAAAATCCTGTTTTCTCTACAAAAACTTAAAATTTAAAAAAGAGACAAAATCAACAAACAAAAAAACATGTTTTTACTGATTTCTTTTGAAATCTTTTGTTATATTTTTGTAGATTATGTGTAATAATATTGAAATTGTGAATAGTATTAAAAATTCATATGAAAAAGGAATAGTATTGAAAATTCAAAAAACAGTATTAGACCGAAATTGTGAAAAATATTGAACAATATCGAAACGAGACTTTCCAAAATTATATCGAAACTGTGAAAAAAGGAATAAAATTGAAAAAGGACTTTCAGGAATAATATCAAAAAGCTGAAAAAAGTAATAGGTTCAAAAATTTCAAAAGCAGAATAAATAGAAGACCAGTTTTTTGTTGTTTTGAATTAAAGTAACTATACTTAATTATACTAGTATTATACAATATACACAAAAAGCTCTATTAATAAAACAAACAATATTGAATGTTGTGTTGTTGGCTACTTATAAAACGATTCAAAACAAGATGTTTTGATTTTATTTACAGTTAATGTCAACAAACCATAAAAAGTTTTATGTCAAATCAATAGAGACGAACCATAAAAAGTTTAAAGAATAAAGTTATTTGTAAATATACAAAACTATTTTTGCCAACTAAGTCATCTGTTATATGTGCAAAAAAATTTCAAGAAAAAAATACTTTAAAACAAGGAGAGGAGGCAAAAAGATCCTGCTTAATAAAAAAATTAGAGCTAATTAAAAGATCCTGATTAATAAAACAAGATGAGCATGCTAAAAGATCTTTTTTAATAAAAGCAATACCACCTCTAATCGTCATGGTGGAGTGGTGGTGGAGTTTTCTTTTAAAAGCTTGAAAAAATTGTTTAGCTTGAGTTTTCGTGATAAGTGTTCAGTGATAATCATTGTCATGGAAAAATTACTATTACAAGTAGACATCTGATCATTCTGTTCCAAAATATTTAACATTGTAAATACTAAAAAAATATTGAGCACACAGATTTAAACACAATGCTGGAATGGTATGTGGCTACCAAATGTTAAAAATTAAATATCATATTGTATTTTACGAGATGTTATTTAATAAAATTTCCATACCAGAAGATATTGAGGTTATCATACAAGTTGCTGAAACTATTTTACAAGAGTTGTCTACTATCTTTACATAATATTTTGTAATAGTCATAAAAATGCACAACAAATGTATGTTTGAACTATTTCCTACTTACTTACAAAATCATGCAGAATCTTTTTGGTTTGGTTTTAGAAGAACTTGAAAAAAAAAGAAGAAATCAGAAAATACTGATAGGTATGCATTGTTGTACTTTGCAATCATTCAAAGCATACATTATATTACCATTAAAATTTATTTGGAAAGATTTTCCATTGCTTTCTTTATTACAAACACATTCTGGTAATAATGACACAATAAAATATGCAAATATATTATTCAAAATTGGCCCAAAATGTTGCAAGATATCTGTTTAATATATGATGAAATAAATTTACAGAAATATACAGAATACTCTAAACTTTGAACTAAAAAAAACTAAAGTCTGAACTTTTCAAAAATGGTATTCAATAGAATATTGTTAAGAACATTCATCAAATAATTCCATACATAATAAAAACTGCCTTAATTATAAAAATTTATAGTAATTGATTGAGAAATGAAAACTGTGACCATTTTGCAACATTGAAACTGTGACCATTTTGCAAACATTTTTTTGTGCAATCATGCAAGTAATTTTGAAAGATTTAATAGATTGCTATCAGAAGATAAAAATTGCTTTAAAAAAGTTTTAAAGCAATTTTTATTTTATTAATTTTCGGATTTACTTTATAATATAAATGATAAGCAATAAACTATCCAGACTTCCCCCATTTGAGTATACTATCTTCAAAGATGATGTTACAGTTAAACAGTGACCACATATTTATTTGAAGTTGGAAGTCGATACTGCCAAGTTTGAGCTTCAAAAAGTTTCAGAATGATAGTGCTATTAACACAAAAATATTCAGTAATAATATAAGAAGAGAACATTTTATAAAAATAGAAAAGAATTGGAATAACATAATGCGCTCTAATCATTGTACTTTTGCTTTAAAAAAAAAACATGTAAGTTATTGGATAATAGTGAGGATCACTGTGTACTTCGTGTACATAAGCGTGTTAGAAACAACTTTTTGCCTTTAACCTTTTCTTTAAGTTAAAACTAAGAAGAAATATTTTTCACATTTGGGACCAGGACTCAAATGTGAAAAATGTTTCTTCTTAGACCCGAAGTATAAAATTTTATAGATTAATAAAACACAGACAAAATGGTTCTTTCATCCTAAGTTAACCATTAACAACTCTTCAAACAAAATGATTCATTTTGCTTGAAGTGTTGTTATTGATATGAGTTTTCTATTAAAAGCTTAAAAAAATTGTTTGGCTTGAGTTTTCGTGATAAATGTTCAGTGATAAATGTTTTACAAAACTTCTAATAAATGGAAT